TCATCAAAGAAAACTCTTTAAAAACGTGATGAAGATACTGAAGTGTAGCTCTCTACAACAGACAGCAATTGGCAGGGTGTGAGTGTGGAAGGACTCAATTTCTTTTTAGGGGCTGGCCACTGAGAGTTTGAGCATGGGCCAGTGACTATATGGACAACACATTTTTTTAAATGTATCTTTTTGTGGGATGGGTCACAAGGGTGGGGAGGCAGACCTGGGTGGTGTGGGACAATTCTGTTTTCTGTCAATTACGTTTTAAATAAACACTGATTGCCCAGTAACCAGGCAGGAAGTATAGGCAGGACAACCAGACAGGAAGTAGAGATAGGGCAAGGAGAACAGGAGTATTCTGGGAAGAAGGAAGCTCTTTCCCCAGTCCTGTCCAGACACTGAAGAAGGAAGATGTGGCCTGTCCCACTGAAAAAGGTACTGAGCCATGTGGCTAACATAGTTAAGAATAATGAGTTAATATAAGTTATAAGAGCTAATATGAAGCTTGAGCTAATGGGCCAATCAGTTTATAACTTATGGAGACCTTTGTGTGATTTTCTTTGGGGCTTACCAGCTGCAAGAACTGGGTAGGACAGAAACCCCAACAAGCAGGCCCTCATGTTACACCTGGGAGGACTGAGAAGTTAGGGTGATTGAGGTGCATTATGTGAAATTTCCAAATAATCAATAAAAATGTTATGTTAAAAAGAATAAACTGTAATTTCACTCTAAAACTTAATGTGGATGATTTACCTGGATTAATAATGAGGTACAGTGGCCCCTGTTTTACTTCATACCTCCTGAATCTTACGTGTTAAGAGGGAACCAATACTGAGAGGGGGAAACAGAAAGAAGAAAGAGCTGACTCTGGCTAGAGACATATGTTGTAATATGACCGCATTTGTATTTAACTGTGATGAATTTCTACATTGCCTGTTATTGATTCTTGCCAGAAATCAGTAGAGCATTAATGCAGAATTAACAGTTTTAAGGAAAGCTGAAAAAGGTTATGTAAACAACTGGCATCTAAGACGAGTACTATTCTGTGAAACAAAGCTGATAGAGGAGGTGGGAAATACAAAAGGAAAATTAGAAAAAAAAATTTGGAAGGAAATGATTTCAGAAGAGAAGAGACTCTGAGTCTGTTGGTATTTTATTTGCAACTGCTTATATTTCACCTGTCCATGTGTGTAGGAGGGGGCTTATATGTGTGTGTATGTTCATGTTATTGTGTACATGCTGAGCTCGGAGGACAACTTGCAAGATTTTGGTGAGGGATGTTCTTCTGTATGCTGTGAGTGTGTCTTATTACCATCGGTTAATAAAGAAGCTGATTTGGCCAATAGCCTGGCAGAATAGAGCCACATAAGAAATCCAAGCAGAGAGACAGAGAGAAAGAAGGCGGAATCACGGAGACACAAGCAGTCACCGAGGAAGCAAGATATGAGGTAACAAGTCACAAGCCTTGTGATAAAATATAGTCTAATAGAAACAGGTTATTTTAAGTTGTAAGAGCTAATTAATAGTAAGCTTGAACTAACAGGCCAAATAGTTTGTAATTACTATTAAGTCTCAGAGAAGCTATTCTGGAGCAGGCAGGTGGCAGAGAAACCTCCAGTTATAAGAGTTTGTTCCCTCCTTCAACCATGGTGGCCATGGTAATCAAATTTGGGTTAGCAGATTTGGTGACAGGCATCTTTACCTACTGAGCTATCTGGGAAGTCTTGATAGAGTTGATTCTTAAAATATAAACAGCTTCACAAAAGAGCAGGATTATAGCAACCAACAAGTTTTAAAAGCTAGATCTCTCCACCTCTTATATAATGGATGAGACCGTTATATATGGTGGAGACCATAGGCAGTTGTGGGGCCGCATCCTACTTTCCAGAGAGCTAGGGATTAGGTCAGGTTTAGGAATGAGAGGCCCAGGAGTAGGGGCTTGTTGTCTCAACATCTACTCAAGCCACCAAGTGTTCTGCTGTACTTTGGCACTCCAGTGTCCTAGCCAAGGGCCCTTCACTATCTACTAATATCCCCGTAGCACTTTATCTCAGAACTGCATCAACACATCACTTTGTTTCATGTCTACTTACAGTCATTTCATCCTCATTATCCTCTCCTAAGAACCATATGACCTGATGCTCCAACATCACCCACTTCATGCAAAGTCACCTAGGCTTTCAGTTCAGTATGACAATTCCCAATACACATCTATATCTTGGACATGCACCTTTGGATTCCTAGAGGCTTCTTTAAATATATACTTAAGAAATTTTCTCTTCCCCAAGTAAACAGCCTTCCTTCATATAGGCACTTTCCAGCTGCCTGGATTTTTTGTCTACCTCGGACTCGCCATCAGCTGGAAATACTTCGTTTCTGGGCTAACTACGGCTTGCCCAATGAACAGATGCGAGGCTCGCTCTTCTTGGGGAATGACTACAGATTCCATATTTTCACCCTATCATAATAAAAGCTTTCTGACATAGATGCCTAACTTTTGTGTCTTGTTTCTATCTAATTGGCTGCCACTGAAAATCCAGCACTGAGATAAATTAGCTTCATGGACATGACTTTATAGTGTCAAAGAATTCAAAGGTCATGTGAAAAATATATGTGCATTTCTTCAATGCATTTTCAAGAATTGCTACCTGCTGATTTAAATTATAATATATGCTAGTTGCATATGAAACAAAAATGTAATTTCTTAAAACTTTATTGATTTTATTTTTTGTGTATATGGGCAGACTGGCTGTGTATCTATCTATATGCCGTGTCCATTTTGTGCCTGCAAAATCCAGAGGGTACCTGAGTCTCTGGAAATGAACTAACAACTAGAGGCTGTGAGCTGCCATGCAGTTACTTGGAACTGAATCCCAGGTCTTTTTCAAGAGCAGCAAGTGCGTTTAACTCCTGACACCTCTTGAACCCCACTACTTTTCCTAAAACAGGGTCTCACTATGTAGCCTTGCTTGACTAGGAACTCACTCTATAGACCAGTCAGGCTTCAGGCTCATAGAGATCTGCCTATCTCTTCCTCCCATTCTGAGGTTTAAGGCATATGTCACCATGCCCAAAAATTAAAAACAAAATTTTAATAAGCAATTTATTCACTTGAAATAATAAGAGATAAGTGGCAATCACTATTTTAAGTACATTTGGGGAATAAAATTAAACAGTTTTTCAACATTTCTGTTATACTTTTTCTACCACTGATCTTCTTTTATGCAATTTTCTTAACAATTTCAAGAACAAGTAGCCAAAATGTAAGAAATGTCCCTTCCTTTTTAGTGTTAGCTTTACTTAAGCAAAAACAATCTTATTAAACTGTAAACAAAATAAATATTCTCTGGGGTTTTTATTTTTTTCTTTCCTTGTGGAACATAAAGAATTGCTATACAAGTGGAAAGACAAGGAAGCAAATATGGGTTCAGACTCCACGCTGTAAGAGTAAATTACTTCATTTAGCTGCAGTCACCCGCTAGAAACAAGGCTGGGGTGGACAGAGTGCTCTCTCTGAGCATGCCTAGCGAGTTCTATCAAGATGTCTTTAGTCAATTAGCTTGCTCGATTGACTAAGCATCTCCTGCCTCATTTACTTGAATAAAGATGGAGCAGGGAAATTCCAGCAAGATGAAACGGTCTTCACAGAGATCACCGAGAAACAGTCCTCACATAAAATAACACACTCAAAGCAGTACACCACCTGTCTAGATAATAAGTGTGGCTGCTTCCCACTTGAAAAGCAAAGCCATTGAAATTTCCAAGTTATTTGACAGTTTTGGTAAAGAGTACGGACTCAAACATCCAAATATTTGAATAGGGGAAGAGGTCTCATTTCTTGTTCTATTTTTTTCTAGAATTTGTTCTTTATTTTAATTAGGTAGCTGTGTATCTCCTTAAACAATGATAAACAAACTTCAGAGAATTATTTTTATCTTAACTATTGGGAAATGAATAGCAATATAATATTTAGAGCCAAAGAATTTTTGGAATTAGCCAATACATCTAAGGAGGAAAATTAACAGGATAATACACTAAAACCCACAGGTAAAGGATGGGTGGTGTCCTTGATGAGACAATGAGAAAAGGTTCTGTAAGAAACGAGAAAGTCGGGAATCTTCACGTGCTATGAAGCTGACAGTTTGTAACACGCATCTCCCAAGTCTCCTTTCCTTTGAAATATGGCACATTGCTCTAACTACCACTCTCTTCTCAGAAAGTCTAGAGAAGGGGTTTTGTTTTCTTTTAAATTAGTTTCCACCGGAAGATGAGCAGGTGCTCACGAGCTCTGGGTTCTCACCAGTGTGTTTCCCTCGTCTCCTTTTGCATCTCAGTTCATTTTCTGAAAGCAACTTCTCTCTATGCCTGAAACCATCTCAAAACTCAAGCAAGTACAGCACAGCTTTGTAAGTTTTGTCATGAATATTTCTTGTATTTTCACAACTTTACCTGTTTCACAATACCTAGGAAATTCCAATCACACCCTTATTTAGCAAGAATCAAAAAACTGGGATGCTTAAAATATTATTTGTGTATAATTATTATTTCAGTATGTTACACTTCAAAATGGGTTGAACAGAGAGTACAAATTTGTTAATTAATGAAAGTGTATGTGACTAAAATAATTGAAACTTTAAATCACTAAGACTCTGTTTAGTATATCTATATTTTTAAATCTGTCCCCTAAACTTCAAAATATATCTTTATTGACATGTAAAATATATCTCATCTCTGGATATTAATTTGAATGTGTAGATCTGTTAATCTAAAAAGCTTAGTTTAAAACAAAATGTAAGCTACTGTCACACCATATGGATCCATACACAACCCAGATTTTGGTTTATTAATACAAGTTAGGAAAAATGATTCCTACATTATAGAGAAATTTTAAAAATAGAACAATATTTATAAAAGTAAAATGTAACAATACACATAATACACCCATAATTTGAAAATTCTGCCCAAATTCTTATTCTGCTGCTTGCTGTAAGTAAGGTAGAGTTCCTTACCAAGGATGAACTCCAGCTGCGGCTCATTGGGGATCTTCTGAAGGCCTAGAAATAGTAGGGATACGTTTAGGTTTTAAAAGTACTTGTTATCAATACTGTAACAACAAAGTACTGTTTCACCTGACTAGATATGTACATATATTTTTGGCAAAATGAATAAAGTTAGATAATCAAGTTTAACCATTGCCAGTTTTCAGGCAAAGGCAAAGCACATGCTCTAAAGTCAATGGGAATAACGACAACTCAAGGCCATAGAGAAACCCCAAGTGGCAATATAGAACATGCCTGTCAACCGTGTTGACTTATTTTGGAAGTATGCAGATAGAAGTGGGAGTTTTACAAGGAATCACCTCCCTAAGGAACTCTCTTAACTGTGCTTTCTTTTAAGCTCTATGACTTGTAAATATGGAACCATTAACAACTGAGATGGCTCCAGCCAAGTTCTAGCAGGCATGGACTTGGAGCTGTTTATTTTGCTTACTTATTATTTCAATCAAATTCTGCTCACTACCTTTACTCCTTTTGTCAATGATATTTCCAAAAGAAGACAACACATCAAATGATGGAACATGGAGTAGGAGTGGAAAGTGAGTCTCAGAACGAAGGCCTAGAAATGTGGTGTGTAACTGTTGAGAAAGTGAGATGTTCAGGATGCAGGAACACATAGCAAGATGTGGATGTTGAAGACCACAGGTAGTCAACAACAATCCCTCGTGGGAGGCGGATGTTGAAGACCATAGGTAGTCAACAGCAATCCCTCGTGGGATGCGGATGTCGAAGACCATAGGTAGTCAACAACAATCCCTCGTGGGAGGCGGATGTCGAAGACCATAGGTAGTCAACAACAATCCCTCGTGGGAGGCGGATGTCGAAGACCATAGGTAGTCAACAACAATCCCTCGTGGGATGCGGATGTCGAAGACCATAGGTAGTCAACAGCAATCCCTCGTGGGAGGCGGATGTCGAAGACCATAGGTAGTCAACAGCAATCCCTTATGGTGGGTGGATATTGAAGACCAGAGATAGTGAATAGCAGTCCCAAACAAGCATGGGTAAGGGTGTGAATGAATGACATTCTTTGTTACAGCTTATAAGTAACCAAAGAAATCAAAGTAAAACATACAGAAAATTATATCACTTAACAACAAAAGTAAAGCCCCTGACCTTGTTGGAGTATTCTTTCAGAAACAGTTTAAATTAACTAGCATTTGCTCAATAACCTATTTTTAAATCCACTTTTTTGAGCAAGATGCAATGCCTTTTTACCCACAGAGTTAACTAGTTATTTGTTTTTTTTAGTACATAAACCATTTATTTTTTTCTCTCTTGCTGTCATTTAAAAAGCTTCAGTTAATGTTAAGCTGTCCAAGGATGTTAGAATCATTCGAGAAGTTTCTGTGAAATAATCCAGTTTTGTTTCTGTTTTGAACACTAACAATTAACTCTGCTCTAAGCTATGCCAATCAAATGTATAGGCAATGCATCCAACAAATACCATTTTCTCAAGACATTTTTTTAAGATATAAGGCTAATGAGGTTAGGCATCTATTTGTGAGTGCTAAAAATGAGTCAAAGGACTGTTTGGAAAGAAAGGGCCAGAGTTTAAACTGAAGAACAAGCCGAAAACCTAGACTTGTAAGCATGAGAGAAAACATAGTATTCTTTTACATTTCTTCACTACTTGACTAGCACAAAAACTGATGCCAATGTTCAGATTTAAATGTTGGTCAAGTCTTTAAGCATTCTGTGCTCTGTGGATTAGCCGAATGGGAGAGCAGCGAGGCAAGCCTTGGCTAACACTTTCCACTGATGCTTTAACCTTAAATACTGCTTGGTCTTAACAAGGTCAAGCTTCCAAAATATTGATTCTCTATAGGAAGAAAGAAATGTCAAATGGAAGCTGTTATTACTTAAATACGATTAGCATCTAGAAAAGGGTCCATCAAATGTATTTATCAGTGTTTTAGTATACATTTGAAAACTTGATCATTGGATGCTGGTTCATGCTGGCATATCATCTGTCTCACCCAAGATAAAGCTGAGAAGAATTTCACTCACAGCCCAAAGCACAGAGAGAAAGGGGGAGACAACTGGGTAATCTCATGCTCCTTGGTGGAATCCAGGTTTCTGTGAATATGTCATGATATTTGTTTTGCTTACAAATATCTGGGTTACAGTTTGGCTCTTTAGAAACCTCCGGGAGACAAGACACATGTACTTACTTGTGAACTGAATGTCCTCAGGGTCATTTGCCTGAGCTGTAGGAAGAAAATGCTGGCCTTCTTCTGAGGTTCCTTCCTCTTTGATTTCCATGATCCACCGCACAACTGATTTCTTATCCACGGTGTCTTGTCCAAGTGGTACCAGAGAATAGGTTCTGGTTTAAGGCTGATGTGTCTTCACTCTAACGATCTTATAACCCGTTGTGAAATTCTGCACATAGAAATACCAAGATTCAACATTGCAACCATTTTCAAGCTCAAATGAAAGCTAAAGATTAACATAGAAACTACACCAACTCGCAAATTACCTCCATGTCCAGGCCTCTCGCACTTTCAGAATCAAACTACACAGTGCACTGGGAGCTCTAGGCTAAGTCAGTGTTTTCAAGGTAATCATTAGAGTCATATAAGAAATTCCTAAATCCAGAAAGGTATATTCATCCTTTCAATTTTATTTACTGAACTAGAACACAGCAGATGGCATTCTGTCAAGGAATTTTCCTGCTTCGCCACTAAGACCATCACTGCGACTCCTTCCCTTGGAATCTCCCTTTATGTCCCAGATGTCCCACTCTGTCCCCTGGCAGAGCATTAGTCACAAGTACAGAACCCTAATTGGCATGCACTTCTCTTCCAAGATGGGCCCGCAGGTTCAAAGGGGGAGTTTCCAGCCTCGTTATTTTCCACAGAGTCTCCTACTGTTCTGTCTGATGGTGGTTTAATTATTTAATGATTGAGGTATGGTGGGGAAAGAATGAAAAATAATTCTCAAAAGCTGAAGCTCAAAGGAAAATGAAAACAACAGAAAACTGGTGGTGATCAATACTGGAAAATGACCCCCCCCCCCGATTTAATACCCTGTTATAAATAGTTCCAAATAGTTACAAATTCATGTTGATATACATGACCAAGAATGAATTGAAAAAAATCAATGTTGTTTTAAATCAAGTTACAAGCTGAATTAAAATGTGCAAAAATCTTTAAATGTCTACCCGGCGCCATTTAATGAGATAACAGTCAACGAGTTTGGTCTGGAATACTGATGTGACCTCAAAACCCACAAATCAACAATCCCACATTCTGCTGTTATTAACAAAGCAGCTTCATTTAGGATTCAGTTTTAGTTCTTAGAACTCATTTGACAAAATTCACATGCAGAAAGCAACATGAATCTTTAGAAAACATTACAATTTAGCAGCAGATATTGGTCTTAATGATATAAGCAAGAGACTCTTGTCTAAGGTAAAGGACTGTTTGACATCAATTAGATCTCAATCATCAATTTCAAAATTATTTTTTCAATTAATACAGTTCTTCTAATTTCTTTTCTGATAAATACACACATATTCGTTGAATAGTCTCCCAAAGACCTGAAAATTCTGTGGCTCTTGGACATGAGAATCTTATCAACCTCATTATATTATTTTAATTAAATACTCAACCCTTAATCCTGATCAGTCATTTTAAAAAATTGCAAGACCCACAAGAGATGAAGCAAATCCTTGATAAAATAGCCACTCAGCACAGTGAATATGAATAATTGATAAAATAAATGCTAACGCAGGTCTGTGTGCACACTTGCATAATGTAGAGAGAAGGGACAAGAAGGAAGTATCATGCTTCTGAGCTTTTCTTGCCATGGTCACACTTGACTGTATCATTGACACAAAACACATACAGCAGGGGAAAATGGTACACAAAGGAAAAGAAAGTGCTATTGCTGAGCACAATGGTCTAGTTTTACTCTTCGTTTGTTACACTGAAGAATAATATTTGGTACATAGGCCTCAGAATGTATCAGTAGCAAAACTCCAGAAAACTGTTCCATTTTCAGGTGGTAAGTACAGTATTTACCCTGCTGTGGTTGGCTGGCTTCCTTTTCTGGGTCTGTTTGGAAGTTTTCTGGCTTGCTGATCAGACACATGGTGGTTTTGCATACCACACGTATATTTGAAGGTCCATTTTTAAGCATAGGGACTATTCCTTCCAGGTCTCCTACCTCCAGATCTACCCAGAAGCAGTGCATAGAATGCAGAGTTGTGCTGTACAGCCGTGGGCAAGCACTGTTGCTCCTCCTGCTCCCCCAGACGAGGACAAATGATGCAGAGCTATATTTATAAGTTATAGTTAACTGAATACTATTTCTCATAGACCATGTAATAAGCTTTGCTAAATATTTTACGTGCCTCATATTAAAATTAAAACTGTGACATTGTCACAAAAGTCATGAAAAGACATCATGGTTAATTAGGAAGAGACTGATCAAACATAGGACAAAACAGAGACATCTCCAGTGAAGAGGCAGTATGACATATCTTCAGCATTGAAGGCTGCAGTCTGGCGCTGGTCATTCATTACTGACAGCCAGAACAATGGCTTCTTCTGGCCAAGATAGAGTGGTGAAGGCAATCAGTGGGCATAAGACATGATACCAAGAATGATGTACTTAGCCATTGTGGTGTGTTTTAGACAACACCCTTCTACTACACTGTCTTATATTAACATGGCCTTGTCATGCTCTAGAAATTTTTAAGGAAAAATTGAATTAAAAAGTTTTAACAAGGACTGAAATTGTAATAAAAATTACAAAAAGATAAAATAGAGAATAGAAGAATGAGGTCCATAGTGATTACATTCAAAAGGTATAGTAAGGATACTCATCGGATACTCATCTTGCGATCAAATGTCACAGTTTAGCTGTACCAAACGGTGTCATCTGTCTACGGAGACCGAATCCTGTTATTTATTCTGGGACAGGAAGGGCAAGACACCTGAACTTGATAAAGTGAGGCTCGCTCACCTTCTCTCTCACTTTCTGTTATGTGAATAAACCTGGTTGGGTCTCTGGATCTCTACAAAGCTGTGATTGCATGAACAACAAGAGAGAGGTGTGAGATCAGATTCAAGGGTAAGGGAATTGTACTTCCTCTAGAACGTGAAAGTCCCAAAGGGAGGACAGGGTCACGAGTAGATAAGTACTTTGATGCCCTGCCTCCTATCCTAAACCAAGGGCAGCCACCTCCAGGTTTATTCCTTTGCTGTAGCCCGACTCACACAGAGTTTATGAAGCATGTTTTAGAGCTCAACGCTGTTATTGTTTTCATGATAACTCATTCTCTCTATTTTCTAATTTTAAGAAATGAGAATTGCTCCCAAAGAAAGAGCACATAATATACAGTGATTAGGAAATCTGAAGTCTATGTAGCAGATTAGGTAGAAAGAGAAGGAATAAACCAAGTCAGATGTGCTGCATATTTACTGTAGGAAGTTCACTAAGTGTCAAAGCAAAGATTATCCTACAAGCCTCAACAAGGGTAATGATAAGGAAATTATCTTATTTGTGGGTGACTTTAGTAGCTCAGAAAAATAAAATGAGAATCTACGCCAACATAGAAATATCTGGTTAAAAAAGAGAGCCATAATTTCACAGGAGACTTACTGGGCTTAGTGACAGAATTTGGTGTAGCAACTGTGAAAAGTAAGTGTATTTTTGATACCTAGGAAACTCTGAACCAATGAACTTCCTGGAGAAGAAACATGGCAACATTTTAGCCAAGGAGGTGAATTTTGATATTTAAACATGTTGCTTCACCTACAATGTTCTTGTGCACACATGAGCATAGATTTTAAAGAGAGAAAAACAAGCCGAAGTAATTTAGGTGTATTTGGAAACACTGGTTAATGGCTAAGTCGGTACAGTGTATAAACTCACTGACAAATAAAAAGGAAGGTTTGGAGAGTCAATTATAAGACACAAAGAAATTTAGAGGGATAAGCTGGGATTCTTGGAGAAAAGCTTAAGAAGCAGAGAGGGAAACTAGAGAGGAATAAAGAAGCAGTCAACGGGTCGGTGCCATTGCTCCGCTGAGGGCAGTTTTGGCGGGAAGACGTGAGCGCAACTGATTGGTAAAGGGATGCAGGAACCAGTCAGGGAATATCATAGATAGAGTCTGTGATACGGAGGGGGATGGATGCAAACTGAAAGTGAGTCGACGGTGTCACAGGAAGATGCTCCCACCATGACCTCACTTCCTGTTAAGATAAAAAGACACAGTCACATGTTCATAAGTTAAATATAGGGAAGTCCTAATCCACCTTGAAAAACTCAGACTATATAGGTAAAGATTAATAACCTTGAAGTCCTGGCTGATCTTTTTCTACTTGACACAAACCTAGCTAAATCTAGTATGAAGGAATCATAATTGACAAAATGCCTCCATAAGATAGACCTGTAGAGTCTGTGGACAATTTCTTGGTTCATGACTGATGTCAGAGGACTAAATACAGCAAGGGTGGTGCCATCACTGTGCAGTTAGTCTTGAGTTGTACAGAAAAGCAGGCTGAGCAAGCCATGAGCGACAGAGTCAGTGAGAAGCATTCTTTTATGGCCTTTGCGTTAGTTTTTCCTCCAGGTTCCTGCTTTGATTTCTTGCCACAATTTCCTTTCATGATGGGCTGTGTTCAGGATATATCAGCTGAAATGAACTCTTTTTTCCTCAAGTTTCATTTGGTCATGGTGTTTAATCACAGCAATAGAAGCTTAAGGCATTTGTAAACATTAAAATAAAAATGGTCTAGGCGCAAACAACACTATAGCAATGAGAAAACAAAATGCACACCTAGAAAATAGACATCGAACTTTCGAGGTTCTGTTTGCAAAGACTTAAATCAGCCCCATCCCACAGTCAAGAAAAGGCCAACAATGTATACAGTTAAAACTTTCCACTAATGAATTAGGACACAGTCTCAAGGTCATCAATTGATCTGAATCTTGGAAAACAAACAATGACAACAGAAGCAGAGTTGCCTCCAAGGGACCAAGGACGGGAAGAAGAATGCCAGGTCACAAGCTTGCAGAAAACTCAGGCAGAATGTTTGATGAATTGCTAATAGATCAGGGATAGAATCAGGATGGAGACAACTCCTGAGATCATCTCAGGTGTTGGCTGTACTCATCAACAGCTCCTTTGTCTTAGGCCTCACTCAGGTGCTTATGAGAAAGGCAGAACCGAGTGGGTGTCTAGACGGCACCTCTTTGGGAAACATACCTGTGGGAGGGAAAAGCAGTCATTGCAGGAAATGCACATAGCACTAATCTAGTCACCTCCCTACAATGCAGAAACAATGGGTCCTGCTTCCATGAGGGTACAACCCTGGACCCATTGCAGTTAGGGAGTGGAAACGAGAAAACAGTGAGAATCTCCGGGACAG